TGATGGACACACCAACTACGTTGATACACTGTGTACAGTATTTAAATGATGGACACACCAACTACCTTGATACACTGTGTACAGTATTTAAATGATGGACACACCAACTACGTTGATACACTGTGTACAGTATTTAAATGATGGACACACCAACTACCTTGATACTCTGTATACAGTATTTAAATGATGGATATACTAACAATCTTGGTACACTGCATATGGTATTAAAATGTAACAATTATGGTGCTGTATACTTGTAATTCTATCACTTGGGAAATGGAACTAAGAGGGTCACTGTGAGTTTAAGGTCAGTTTGGACTACATATTGAGACCCTGTCTCAAAATAAAAATCACATCATATAACATAAATATGTACTTTTTTGGTTTTGTTTTTTAAATACTTTTATTTTTTTATATATGAGTATATTGCCTGGACATATGTGAGTGCACGCATGTCCTGCAATGCCACGGAGGTCAGAAGAGGGCTTCAGATTCCCCTGGAACTGGAGTTAAGTATGGTCTTCAGCCCCCATGTGGGTGCTGGGAATCGAACCTGGGTCCTCTGCAAGAGCAGTCAGTGCTCTAAACCGCTGAGCCACCTCTCCAGCCCCATATGTACATTTTAAAATATTTTATTTATTATTTTTTATGTGTATGAGTGCATTGCCTGCATGTGTGTAAGTGCACCCGTGTCCTGCAATGCCTGTGAAGGTCAGAAGAAGGCGTCAGATCCCCTGGAACTGGAGCTACAGATGATCGTAAACCACCATGTGGGTGCTGAGCCATCTCTCCAGGCTCAATATGCACATTTTTTAAAGCAGGGGTTGGGGCTGGAGAGATGGCTCGGCAGTTAAGAGCACTGGCTACTCTTGCAGAGGACCTAGGTTTGGTTTCCAGCACCCACATGGCGGCTAACAACCTCCTGTCACTCCAGTGAATACATACAGGCATAAGACTCATACACATAAAATAAAAATAAATGCTAGTTTTATTTTATGTGTATGAACTTTGCCTGCATGTGTGTAAGTGTACTTGTGTTGTGCAATGCCTGCAGAGGCCAGAAGAGGGCATCAGATTCCCTGGAACTAGAGTTATAAACAGTTGTCACCTGCCATGTGGGTGCTGGGATTTGAGCCTGGGTCTTCTGCAAGAACAGCCAGTGCTCTTAACCACTGAGCCATCTCTCCAGCCCCTTAAATACAAGTTTTAAAAGCAGGGGTGGTGGTAGAGCAATAGCTTAGTGGGAAAGCCACTTGCCACCAAGCTTGATGAGTTGAGCTCAATCCTCTGAACCCACGTGATGGGAGGAAAGAACCAAAAGTTGTCCTCTGACCTCTGCAGGCCTGTGAGAGACTGTCTCAAAAATAAGGTAGAGAACCGTACAGCAAGATTCATTATGGCAACCTCCAGCCTCCACATGTGCACGTGGAGGCTAGTGCAACAGCACACATGTACCCGCCAAACACACACACACACACACACACACACACACATACATATACACACACACACACTTTTTTTAAAAATGTATATATTTATTTATAATGAAATTATGGTCTAACTATTTACAATACACAGTATTTCGAACTACTTCTGGTTCAGCCTATTTCACTTTCCCATATCAGTATTTATACAAAAAAAGTTCTTTTGGCAAAATCTGTAATACCAAGAAAAAAAAAAAAAAGACAGGTTGCAATTTCAGTCATTACGTTCACCATCCTATCGCATGTCATCAAATCTCTAGTGGCAACTAGTCCTGAGGGAGACAAATCCCTGTCTGAGGCTGGCACCTGTGGGCACCCACATTTCAGACACCCAGTGCTGTTTTAGCTCCCTTTCTGAGGTTGTCCTGGGCTCAGTCAAAGAACACGACTCAAAAAGCTGAAGAGCACCAAGAAGCTCTTACAATTAGATCTTTAAATGAGTAAATAGAAACAAAGTCCACGAGAGAAAATTAGATAGATAGATTAATGAATTAATAATAAATTAATAACAAATAGATTAAATAAATAAATAAATAATAGCCGGGCATGGTGGTGCCCATCTGTAATTCCCGCACTGGGGAAAGAAAGGCACAGATAGGATCAGGCATTCACGATCCCCCTGTGTCTGCCTGGGTGTCAAGAAACCCTGCCTCAAGACAGCAACAAACACACAGAGTCTATGAGGAAGCACTTGTCACCCTCACAGAGCAAATTGACCTGTTGAAAGGAAGAAAATGAATCCCAGGAAGAGAGAAAACAGAGAAAGCCTCCACTGCATATGGCAGCCAGGGGCAGGTACCTCCAGCCCATGCGCAGCTGCGCTTGAGATGAACTACTGTGACACACTCAGCACTCGCACACACAGGCCCCTTCTGGTCCTCAGCACACATCTGCCAGCCAAGCGGCTCTTCCACACAGCCCAGCCAGGCAGGGACCTCCTAATCTTGGTGCAGTGCCTGAGGGAGGCAGCCCAGCCCCCGCTCACTTCCTGCTCTGCTAGAACATTCTGCCCCCCCCAGGGGGATCTCAGAGCCCAGCATTCTTGTATAAATCTGTTCTCTTACAGACCACGTATCTCCACAGATGGATAATGTATAGAGACAGCCAGGCCATCTGGGCCAGCGGCTGCAGTCCCAGGCTGACATGGTCCAAGTGTTGGACAGGACATTGGCTCCACACCCAATGGTTCTGGCAGGCTTCCCCTGGTCTTTTGCAGTCCGGTAACACCATCCCTGAAAGCCCCCTCCCCAACTCCAACCCTGGGACACCCTGACGTCTGGTGGGAGTACATCTTCCCTGTGGGACACACAGCCTAGGACTACAGAGTCCAGATCCACATGCCGGTAGGGAGTCACAGCCTCCCACCCCGAGGTCTCACCTTCTCATCTATACAATGGGGAAGCAGCAGCTACCCAAGGCAGTAATCCAGGAGTGCTCCGTTCAGCAGACAGCAGTGCTCTGAGACAGTCCCGGTTCCCCACCGCCCACTCCTCCCAGATATCCTGAAATCTGCACCACAGCCACTGCCCCCACACCTACAATGTTAGGTCACCAGTATCCAGATGGGTGGACAGGAGCCTCATTGAGCTGGGCTCAGTGAGCTTGTTCTTAATTTCTCCACAGCCCAGTAAGCAGGAGGTCCCCTCGGAGGCTCCCAGTGAACCCCAGTTGTTCTCCCTCCAATTGGGCTTGGCTCCCTGAGGGAAGAGCAGGTCTCAGAGCAGTCACAAAGAGGGAAGGTTTGACACGAACTGCTTGGAATCAGAGGCACACCCACAGAGGCAGCCCTAGGACCTTGGAGGCCCCCATCCTTCTCTGAGTGTCCCTCCCATCTGGAACATGGGACACTTTTGTCTGTAGTCCCTGCTGTCTCCAAGGGTCCTCCTTCCAGAATATGGTAGTTCATCAGCAGTTACAAAAAGCCCTGCCCACCCTGGCCAGTTCTGAGGTTAAGTGAAAAATCTCCTCCATCCTTTCAGTTATTTTTTGATACCTTCCCACGCAAGCTCACATCACTGTATCGCAAACCCCAGTCGACCCCCCAATCTGTGCAGTTTTAACACTGATGGTCTATAAAGCAGAATCCAATAGGAAAATGACACTAAGGGCTATGGCAGCCTCCTAAGTGGGGAAAAAACAGCCCAGACAGGGCAAATAAAATGCCCATGGCCACATAGCACAGAGGTGGTAAACCAGAATGGACATAGGTGAGACGTTTGGTCCACTGTACCTCCTGGAAGCCCCAGTCTTGTTGTCCCCAGAGTGGCCAAGAACCCAGAACCAGGCATAGCTGGAATAGTAGGACATCTGACCAGTAGGACATATGTCTCTAGACCACTGGACCCTCTGGGCCTCTCTAAATAGTTCGAACTTCAGCTTACCCTTCCCCTAGTTCCCCCCACCCAGCCCAGGCTAGGTCCAGGATCCTAGGAGAGAGCTTGGCCCAGCCCCTGGATGAGCTCAGCCTCTCACGTCTGGGGTCCAGATGCCCAGCCAGGATCTCCTTCACAGGCGATCCTCTGGCCCCTGCCCAGAGCACACATTCCACAGCTTGTCCTCGGGAGACAAAGGCCAGCACATGCAGCTCAGCTCATCACGCACAGCCAGGAACATGGTGGACCCTTAGCCAGGACAGCCAGGGGAATCCATCCCCAGAGCATCTGGGATCCAGCCAGGGCTGACTGCAGAGCTGGGTACAAGGACACAAGGTCAAGAGGACTCCAAACCAGCTCTACTTATGGAAACAAGGTCAATGATTGATTGGTTATGTCTGCCATGGCCATGGACAAGGTGAGATCTACCTGTGGAACATGCTAGACCTCCACCTGACAGGTCTGTGTGTTGGACCAGATGGAGTTGGGGGGTCCAGGGATCTATCAGCAATGCCCTACCCAGCAGCGCCCTACCCAGCAGTGCTCTGTGCATGTGGCTAACAGAAAAAGGCTGGTACTCCAGGTGGCAGTGCATCCTCCATCCTGCAGGATTGGCCTGTAGTTCCAAGAGTTCTCTGGAGCTCCAGCATTAGAACAGCGATATGCAAGGGGGCCTTTCAGAGGTGTCTGTCATAAGAGCAAGCCCGCCCGGATCAGGGTTGCCATTAGGGACTGACTATGTTAGACAGACCAGCTCTACCCTATTGTGAGAATTTCTTCCCTGGGAGATGTAAACATTGTCCACCTTCTCCTCATAGGCTCCCAAGGACAGACCAAAGTATGATTCCACCAAAGTTCACCCTAGAGAATCAAGGAGTCTTACTGGGCTTCCTTCCAGAGCTTGAGTGAAGGGTTAGGGACTGACGCATGGGTGACCGGAAAGCAACCATACTGGAAGGCTGTCACCCTGCATGGATAATACTCCCCCGCCATGGCCACATAGATGGAGCTCCTGAGTTAACTAACCTTCCCCAGCGTAGATACACTAGTCCCTCCCTGAGCCTCCCCACAAAGCCATGTGCAGTTAGGGTGTAGTTGCATACACACAGCTGGGAAGAGTGGCTGGACACTCAAGTGAGCATCCAATGGCCTTCCATATCTCCTTCTTCCATGCAGAAGTCAACAATCCACAGGCCCAACAGTGAAAGACATTCAGAGTAGACACAGCTGATCTGATAAAGATGGACACTGTTTTGCCAGGAAGACCACCTTCTGTAACACTCCCTGAAATACTTTTCTCATTGCTGTGAGGGAACATCATAAATGAGGAAAGGTATGTTTTGACTCATGGTTTGAGAGACATTTCGGTTCATCATCATGGACGGCTCTGTCTGCGATGGTGGAAATGTGAGGTGGCTGCTTGTTCACATCACAGCAAGCAGGGAGCAGGGCGAACAGGCCAGAGCTATGCCCAGAGCTGCTCACATAGCACAGATCAGGAAACAGAGAGCTATACCAGAGCCAACCCCACCCCTGTGACCCACTCCCATCAGCCCAGCCCCCTCCCCTCACTTCCTAAGGGTCATCAACATAGCACCACCAACTGGGGACTAAACATTCAAAATATGAGCCTTTGGGAAACGTCTTGAATACAAGCCATCACAAGTCCTGCCTCCATCCATCTCAAGCAGTCTTTCTCCTTCTGCCTCCTCATGACGCAGCCCAGAGGCTGAGGTGTGTCCTAGCACCACACTTGAACTTCCCAGCATCTGGATCCACGATCCATTCTCTGCCAACTACCACACCTATGATGCTCTGCTACAGCTGTGGGGCACAGACTAAGTTGTTGGGGATGCCTCTGCGACTGAGCAACTATAATTCCCTGTACCGACACATTTAATCTCCTAGCAGATAAACGGGGAGAGAGTAAGAGACATCAGCCCATCTCTCAGGAGCAGAACAGAACCCCAAGGTGGAGAAGCAGCCAAGTCAGAGGGACAGGGGACCCCTCTGAGCCTCTCTGACTGCCTCCTGTGGACTGGAGAAGGCCCCTAGCTGCTCTCACATCCCTTCTGCTCCCTTGAGTCCCCACCACTGCCCATCCCTCTCTGCTCACCTGGGTCCCCCCTCCTGCCCCAGTGCAGTCGCACCCCTGTCTCCTGTGGCTGCTGATATCGTCCATACCTGGCTTAGTCTGCCTCTCCCTCAGCATCCACCTCCCACCGTCTCTGTGCCTCCATGTGAGTGACGTCCCTTTCTTACAATGCCCTCCTAAATCCTCCCCAACCACCTGTCTCCTTCCCCCCACTATACCCAGACGGGATTTAGACAAGAAAGTACGAAGAGGCCCACTACAGCTTGTACTTAGGCCAGGGGAGGGGCTGGAACTTTATGGGGTTGTAGAAAATACCTTTGGGGATATGGCACGTACCTGGGAGAGTTGGGAGTCTCTGGGGAAGTCCTGAGGGAGTTGAAGGGACCCAGGGTGTCTGGGGAAGAGAATTCATACAGATACAGACTCTCTCTCTTTCTGGGCCTGCCAATTCCCACCAAGTAGGAATGGTATTATCAGGAATGGATCAGGTATTATCATTGCTCAGCCAGACACAGAGTTATTAGTTACTTGTCTTGTTGCTGGGACAAAATACCTAACAAAAGCAACTTGTGGAGGGAAGGGTTTGTTTGGGCCCACAGGTCACAGGTGCAGTCCGTCATGGCGAGGAAGGCACGCTGACGAGAATAGGAAGAAGGCGGTCACCATGTGTCCACAGTCAGGGAGCAGAGGGAGGAGAACGACCCATCCCATGGTCCCGCCTACACAGGGCTTGCCTTCCCATCCAAGTTATTCCCATCTAGAAATTCCCTCCCAGACATACCCAGAGGTTTGTCTCCTAGGTGATTCTAGACCCCGTCAATTTGACGATCAGTGTTACCATCGTACTGAGTTACCACTAAGCACCTGAGAGCCTTGTCCCTGCCCTGCCCAGGTCTCACAGGTCAGCTGGCGTCCAGGAGGAACAGATTAGTAAGTGCAGTACAAGCCCGGCCCAACCTTCCTGCCCTGCTTCCCGCAACCCAGCAAGAGGCCTGGTCCACGTTCACACTTCCTCATCTCAGCGGGGCCCAGTCCAGGCACACAGTAGGTACTCAAGTAGTGACTGCTGCATGCAGGTCTGGGGACAAGTGTCACTGCTGAGCTACAGGGTGCTCAGGTGGGTCTCAGGGCAGAGCCCTCCATTACAGCCACTGCCTGAGCTACTGAGCTGTGGTGAAGCCAAGGATCCAAGAGGAGGCACTGAGGGGACCTGTGTCCACTGTCCCATGACCATCCAGTCTCCCAACACCTCTGGCCCAGGGCTGAGCTGAAGGTCCAGGTCAATTACTGCGTGCCAGGTCACTGACCACAGCTAATTTAGGCGCTGGCATCTCTCTTTCCCACCTTGCCTAACCCTGCCCAGTCTCCTCCGCTTACCATAGAGGGGAAAGGTTGGGGCTAGAGGAGAACATACTATACCACTTACTGTGCTCAGAACCTCATCTTCCAGACATGGCATGTGGCCCGCAGCTCCGAGCCAGCTGCAGGGACACTGGAGCAGAGTGCCAGGCCCACCCTCAGGCAGGTGCTAAAGTAGAGAGTACCAGAGATTCAAAGGACCGTTAGAGGCCGATTCTGTGAAGTCCCTGAGGGTGCTCATGTGAGGCTGGGGACCAGTCTGGGCCACTTGTTCATGCAGATTACATGAAAGACCCAGGAAACCGTCACCCTGGCCTCTCCTGCTATGATCTATTTTCCTGCCACATCCCTGGGGTGACCTACCCAGCCTGCTGGTACCCAAGGAGGCAGAAGGAGGAGGGGTACCTCCCTGTCACCCAGACTGAGCCAGACCCTAGTGTCAGCAGAGCAGGACCCTGTGAGGCCAGCCTGCCCACCCCCACTCCCCCTATTGAACTTGGCCACACAAACATCCCCTCCTCCTCCTGTCTCATCTGTCTCAGTGCAATTTCCTTTCTTGTCTGAATACAGATTCCTTCCCAGATGACTTCCTCCCTCCATCCTCCACTACCAGGTCTCGGGCCAAAGCCCCTGGCTAAAGACTAAGTAGGAACATGCGGGTCCCGTTAGGAAGGTCGCTGCACAGCCAGCAGGAAGGCACTGGTGATGGCTTGTGCTTGGAAAAGAAGTCCTCCTGAAGAAGCAGAGGAGAGGGGGTGAGCGGGAGAGGGCTCGCTGGCCACAACTGAGCCATGAGCACATTTTCAGACTGTGAGTCAACAGTTAATGGAGTGAAGAGGGCTGACCGATAGTCTTCCTGAAGCATGAGTGGCAGGAGCATTTATTAGCTGGCCATGGCTGGCTGGGGAACGGGAGGGATGGGAGCCACTACCCCAGACTAGCCACCAGCGGGTGGCCAGTTATGTCAGGGAGCATTGTCTTAATCCTTTTTCCACTAGGAGTGGGGCTCTCTGAGACAAAGTCAGGAGGGACTGAGACAAGACTGACTATCCCATCACAAATCTGGACAGCATGTGGGGTCCTCTGTCGGCTTTGACACGGCACCGTGAACTGTTACTGTCACTTCAGCTCCTTGAACAAGGCAAAATCATCCATGCCTTTCTGGGCTCTACCCTGTGCCGAGCCCCAGAGGCACCGAGGGTGAATTAGACAAAGCTCTGCAGGAAAAGAAGGTTCTGGACTGCAGAGATAGCCCATGCATCACCTGACCCCACAGCAGGATCGCAGGGAGACATGTCAGATGTTCAGGCTGCTGGGGACACACATGCCAGGCACACCACGCACACCACGCACAGCACACACATCAGGCACACCACGCACATGTACTCCTCCACTCCAGGGCAGCCAGCCAGGGAGACTGACGCCACGGAGACAGGCTGCTGGCTGCGCTGCGGAGAAGCTTGGCGGCCCTCACCCTCCATCGCCATTGAAGCAGGAGGCAGGTCCCTCACTGAAGAGGACACTGACTCTGGTCACAGTGGCTTCTGGAGGACCGTTCCCAGTACCACTGGGGTGTCCATTGGAGGTGGGGGTTCAGCACATCAGGACCCCAAAACTCAATGATTCAGTCTGCTTTTCATTCCTCTGAGATAAGGGGGTTTTCCCACATGGTCTGACTGCCTGTCCAGCCATTTATATGTGGGGTGACCTGGGAGTCACCATTTCTCTAAGTTCCGTCTTCTCTACCCTAATCCGAGGTCCTTGTGTGCCGTCATCTATGAGGAAGTCAAATGTTCAGGTGTGTGAAGACAGGAAATGAAGGTATGTAGTTGGGAGGACAGTCAATCATGCGTGCCTTCTCACCACTTCTCCTTCCCACTACAGACATTGCTAATCCATCACAGCTCTCCTTCCTGTGGATTCAGGCTGTAGCTCAGAATCCTCCTCAATGCAACCTTTAAGCCATCATTGTAACCAACAAGCATGAGACAAGTTCTGATGAAATCAAAGTTCGTGGAGGGACAGGATCTCCTGAGGCCATTGGGAGTTGCAAGTGGAACAGATCTAAGACCACAGATATCTAGAAGGGTGGGGTTGAAGGTGGGCTTTGGGGAGGCAACAGGGCCCAAGACCTGAGTGGGGAGGCAGAAAGGGAGCTGGCGAGGGGATGGGTGGCCATACCCTGGTGCTGGCTGTGTGGGTAAACAGGAAGCACAAGAGGCCAGCACCATGCTGGGAGGGGGAGGGTGTCAGCCGCTAAACTCTGAAGTCTCTACCACAGCCCCGAGCAAACCAGAGATGAAGGCCAGTGACTTAAATAAAAGCTCCTGGTGTGGTTTTGTGTTTTACACTGTGAGGAAAAACATATACTTGGCTCAGGCCCTTTAAACTAACGCTCCAAACATCTGATGACCCGGGGCGGTGGGGGGACTCCCAGCCTGAAATCCTATAGAAGAGTTCCTGGAAAAGCAGTTTGAGGAGTGTTCCACGAGGTCCACAGGGACAAGGTCCCGAAAGCCCAGGCTAAGCCATGCAGCCAGAGCAGTTCTCCAGAGGCCCAAGTACTGAGGGCAGGTGCTCCCTCCACCTCTCAGAATGCAGCTCAAAACAGAACATGCTTGTACGTGTCAGAATGTGTGGAAGGGAGCCCAGTGAGGGCCTGAGTTTCCCCTAGATGGGTGTAGTTCAGTGCAGAGTGCTTGTCTAGCACAAGCAAGGGGTGAGTTCAACCTCCAGCACCCCTCCACACACACACACTCATACACCACAGACACACATCACATACACACCAGACCACACATACACACACTCACACACCACAGACACACACACATACACATATACAGACACACACACATACACATATACAGACACACACACATACACATATACAGACACACACACATACACATATACAGACACACACACATACACATATACAGACACACACACATACACATATACAGACACACACACATACACACTCACACACCACAGACACACACACACACACACATACACACACCACAGACACACCACAGATACACGCACACTCACACACCACAGACACACACACATACACACTCACACACCACAGACACACATACAGCACAAACATATACACTCACCACAGATACACACACACACACCACAGACACACACACACACCACAGAAAGACACCACAGACACACACACACCACACACACTCACTCATGCACCACAGACACAAACCACACACACACACTCACATACCACAGACACACACACACCACAGACAGACACACCACAGATACACACCACAGACATACTACAGACACACACACACACACACACCACAGACACACACACACCAGACACACACACAACACACACAAAGAGAAAGAGAGACAAAGACAGAGGAGAGAGAAACACACAGGCTTTTGTACCGAGTCGGCACTGCGAGTCCCTGTGTGGTACAAGTTTCCGTAGCATGAAAACTTAGCTTGTTGGAGTTCATGCTCCCCATGCAATATGGCACTTGGAAATGATTCATACAGCAAGTTACCATGAGCCAGTGGGAACCAGTTCCCGCACACTGCTGCTGGCCAGGCAGGACCAGAGGCCCTTCCACCCCTGTAGCTGGGTGTTCAACTGGAGACGTGCTTTTAAGGGTTGGTGCTGGGCTTTGAATGTATGCCTTACCCAATTCTTTTTGGTTTTTGCATGTGTGCTGTTCATGCATGTGTGTATGTGTATGTGTGGGGTGCACATGTGTGTGCGACTACTTGTGTACCTGTGTGCACACAACATGTAGAGGTCTAAAGTTGAGATCGGGTTTCTTCTTTGATCTCTCTCCACTTTATTTATTGAAGCAAGGTCTCTTGCTGAACCCAGAGCTCAATGTTTCCGGGTACTGTAGATAGCCAGTCTGCCCCAGAGATCCTCTGTCTCTGCCTCCATTGTGCTGGGATTAACTCTGCCTCTGGAGTTCAAACTTTGCTTCTTACACTTGTATGGAGACTCTTAGGGCCGTGACTGATGCACCTTTTAAAGTATTTTATTTATTAATTTATTATTTTTATTTTATGTGTATAGGTGTATTGCCTGCATATATGTAAGTGCACCCATGTCATGCAATACCCACAGAGGTCAGAAGAGGGTGTTGGATTTCACTGGAACTGGAGTTACCAATAGTTATTAGCTTCTGTGTGGGTGCTGGGAATCAAACTTGGGTCCTCTGCAAGAGCAGTCAGCGCTCTTAACCACTTAGCCATCTCTCCAGCCTCTGTGGCTGATGTGCCTCAGCTATAGCTCATGGTCAGTGATGGAGGCCTTGTCTTCGTGGCCCTGTCTTGATGAAGGGTGGGTGTGCTTTGAATTGCTCTTACAAAAATTATGGGCCTGTCTATTCACTGTTCAGGGCCCCTTTCTATGGGTGGTTGGAAGAATTAGTTGTACATAAAGTAGCCGTGCAAAAAAGCAAAACCACTCCTCAGAGCACAGAAGAATTCTTTCTGGGATTTTCAGCATGGCCCAGAGCCAGGAAACATCTGATTTTCTGCTAAAAACCAAGAAATAAATCCCATGTACACACTCTGGACAGCGCTTACCCTGGGACATACATCCTTTGGGAGGTCCGTCCTGACCGCCTTTGGACTGTCTGAGGTGAGCTTTCTTTTTTTAAACATTTACTTAATTATTTATTTAATATGTTATACATGTTCATATGTGAGTTTGCATGTGGGGGGGTGTACACGTGTGTGGAGACCAGATGTCAAGCTTCCTCCTATGTTGAGGTACAGTCTCTCACTTAAACCCAGAGCTCGCAGTTTCCACTAGTCTGGCTAGCCAGTTTGCTCTGGGGAATCCAGTTCCTGACCCCTGGGTTAGGATTACAGGCTGCCTGTCACCCCCACCTGCCATTTACCCAGATGATGGAGACCCAAACCCAGTTTTGATGCTTATGTGGCAGGGTCTTTATCCGCAGCCATCTCTCCAGGCCTGAGGTGAACTTCCTCAAATTCGGTTTGGTGAAATGAAAAACCAGCTCATTCAGAAGGGTTTGGTTGCTGTCCTACAGCTCTGGGGGCAAATGGGCCCACTGAGCCATCTCAGGGAAGCCCTGGGGGAGGGTTGCACGCTCTCCCAGGCATTAACTCCGAAGTCCCCATCTGGGTCTACTTCACACCCTGGACTCCCACGTATGAACTCATGTGACAACAGGGCCTTGTATCTGCGGAGGCCCGGGACACACTGTCCCACTGACGATAGCCCTGCTCTCGGAGGGTACCAGAGCAGCCAAGGAGCCAGACTGTGCCTCCACAGCCACGTGTCCATGGGGAACCACCCGCTCCACGTCGGCAGCACTCCGGGACCACATGGCTGGGGGAGGGTAACCATGGCAACCCTCCAGTCATCTCTAAGTTACTCTTTCACAATGTACAATCGCTCAGTTTATAGGAAGAATGCTGACCATATATTCTGGTTTTCCAAGCACAATACTTCACTAGGAAGGAATGCAGAGCCCACCAGCAGGAGCGCACACTGCAGTTCTCCTGATCCTCCAACTGAGGCCTCCCTTGGCTGCCGGGGAAGGATGACTGGGCCCTCCCGCCCATCATGCCTCTGAAGGATGTGTGGGTCGCCCCGGGGGGCATCCATTGCCCAAGTGAGGGTCCCAGAGATGCAACCTCATGCTCTCCCTCCTGATGACCCAAGGGGCACACAGCCGTGCCCCATTGTGGATCTGGCATCTGTAATCAGGTCAAACCACCACGCTACCCATTCATCAGTGAAATTTCAGCCCAGACTGGATGGTGGAGGGTGTCTGTCTCCTCCCTGGGTGAGGCCACAGGCGTTTCTTTGTGACTTGGGCTGAGCTTTGGTGCTCTGGAAAGACGGAGGAGGAGGAGGAGGCACACACATTTGCCTCATTGCAACGGTGAAGTTCAAATATCGGAAGGAGGAAAATGAATTTCAGATGCTAAAAATAATCTGTGGGGGCTCTTCAGATGAAAAGAAGGGACTCTGCAGGACCTCGGAGGCAGCGTTTCCATCCCTGATGCCCTTTGATGGAGGCAGCCATTGTGGTATTGATATCCCTAAACGGGCCTGTAATTTCCGGAGATCTGCAAACACAGCTGTTTCCTGGTTTGGACAGCACAGCTTTAAAATATGAAGCTCAGAGGAACGGACACGCGCATTTCCTTTTAAAAATTATTTATTTACACAGCTGTTTCCTGGTTTGGACAGCACAGCTTTAAAATATGAAGCTCAGACACCCGCATTTCCTTTTAAAAATTATTTATTTTTATTTGTGTGTGTGTGTGTGTGTGAGAGAGAGAGAGAGAGAGAGAGCCTGCGTTAGTTTATGTGCACCATGCACATGAGAGAGAGAGAGAGAGAGAGAGAGAGAGAGAGAGAGAGAGCCTGCATTAGTTTATGTGCACCATGCACGCAGGTTCCTGTGGAGGCCAGAAGAGGGCATCAAATCCCCTAGAGCTGGAGTTATAGGCAGTCGAGAGCTGCCTGATATGCATGCTGGGAACCAAACCTGAGTCCTCTGCAAGAGCAGCAGATGCTCTTAACTGCTGAGCATCTCTTCAGCCCTATGCTGGACGAGCCACAAAACTGTCCAATTGGACAAAATTCTGCTCTGTGGAGGCTCATGGGTATATGCACACAGTGACTCAGATCAAGAACTAGAATAGGGTTAGCTCTCTCCAGTCCCTTGTGCCCACTCCAGTCAGGATCCCTTATCTCTTCCACTTTGGGACCATCACCCTGCCATCTAGCACTGCTGTCTATCAGAGGAAGTGATAGTGAACGTGGTGTTGGTTCCGGCCGTGAGTGGCTAAGTGTGGCTCTTGTCCCTTCACCCCTGTGCTGTCTGATGCCATTGATGCCTGTGACGAAAAACAAGGAAATCACTTTGATGGCCAAGGCCATCTGCTGGAAGAGTTTGGGACGGTGACACTGGGGACACACAGTGGGAAGCGATCTGAGGGTGTCTGTTGGGGAGGGAGCCCTGGGATTGAGCCAGGCAAGAGAAAAGGCTGAGGCACAGGAGACAAGCAGGACACACCATGGTGGGAGCATGGTCACCAGGACCACAGAGCCCCTCAAGTCAGATGTCCCCAAGGAGCCAACCCATCCGTCAAAGCTGTCAAGTGCTGGGCACTCTGGGCGGGAAGACACAGATCCCAGGATAGCTCCTGGAATGGGCAAGGGCCATTTTTTATGGCCCCTTCAGTGTTGAAGGGCCCTGTGTATGACTCAATCCCTGGTATTTTTAGGCCAACTCCTACAGGAGTGGAATTGTTTCTACAGGCCATGCTAATTACCAACCAGCTTCTCCCTCAGCCGCCGAAGGCGTGGCCACGGGATAAAACACCCCGCCCTTTATTCTGATGACAGCTGGTATAGGTTCTGAAGATGGGTGTTCCCTCCTGCGTCCTCACTCTCTTATCTGTACCACAGTTTCATGAACTCTTGGTCATGACCCCGTATGGGGTCATAAAAAAAATGTCTAGCAATTGTAAAAGGGTTCTGAATACACAATGACCAAAAATTAATTCAAAATCAAACACGTGTCTCAAATCTGAGGCATTTCTGGCAGTGTAAGCCCGTGTTGTGTTGCGTGTTGTCACTATAGCCTTGGTTCTGAACACACAACGTGCACACTGGGTACTCATCACACCACGCAACACCAACAAACACTTCTCAAAACAACTCGGATTAAAGACTATTGCAGATTGAGAGTCGCGGTGGGCTTTTAGCTACATTGATTTGTACATTTGTTTGTATTATGCCACTGTGTGCCTGTGGAGCCCAGAGGAAAATTTACAGGAGCTGGTTCTCTCCCTCCACCACGTGGGTTCCAGGGAACGAACTCGGGTGTGAGCACCTTCACCTGCTGAGCCATCTCGCCCAAACGGCAATGTTCATAACAGCAAAAACATGCCAAGTTTTCTGCACTTATAGAAATATGCTGGTTTAATTATGGAAAACAAAGGCTTTTCCTATTACCTTACCGTCGTTCCTCACCATATAAGTCCCAAATTATGTGTGGGTTGCATCATGTTAGGAAGTTTTATTCCAAAAATTGCTGTTTGAGTTGTTGACTTGAGTTTCATAAACAAGAAAATTGTTAAATGACTTTTGGCTCATGATAAGGGCAGAGCTTCCAACAATCTCCTAAATGGCTCTAAAAATACTTCTGTAATTTTCTACAATACATGAAACAATATTCTGGAATCGATGGTTATTAACTCAAAATGTCAATATACTCTCAAAAACATTGAAGACACTCTCTGTCCTGTAGAATCAAATACTCAGTCAAGATTTAATCTTCACACAAAAGTAAATAAGGACATTCATTTCATTAATATGCAAATTGGCTTTTGTCTTTTATAGCCAAGAATTGTTTTCAAAATAAATTCCTTTTGCCAGGTGTGGTGGTACATGCCTTTAGTTCTAGCACTCAGGAGGCAGAGGCAGACAGGTATCTGTGTGTCTGAGGCCAGCCTGGTCTACGTAGAGTTTCAGGCCAGCTGGGGCTACAGGGTGACCCTGTCTCTAAAACTAAAATAAAATGAAATAAATTTTTGATGATATAGTATCAATAAATGTTTGATATGTATACCTATTTTATAGATGTGTAAGTCCTGGGCCACATAAAAATCTCTTAGGAGAAAAGATGTTGTGAGTAGAAAAAGTTGAAGCCACGGGGTGGAAACCTGACTGAGCGGAAAGAGAACCGTACGGAGCAGAGCCCAAGGGCTGGCCAGCACCCCACGGAAAGGCCCACCCCACGGAAAGGCCCACCCCACATCGACGAGCCATAATCAACTACGTCATAAAGATGCAAACGCCAGGAAGGGCATCATGAGGGAGCACAGAATTCACTGACAAGACACTAGAAGTCAATATTTAACCATATTGAACAAGAAATCTAGGCAGAAAAGAAGTCAAAACTCTCCTGAGTAATACAAAACAAAATTTAAAAAGAGGGAACTTCCTCACGGGGTGGCATTGAATATAAAGTTGCCTTCCTCTTAAAGCGCTCTATGAACTCAGTTCAGCCCTGCTGGTTAAAATCCCACTAACCTTCATGGTGGTGGATGGGGACAGGGCAGACAGAAATGATTCTTAGTTCAAATAAATCACCAATTCCTGAGAAAAGACCAGAAAGTTCTACTGTAAAGGTCAAGTTGCTTAAGCCTCCCAGCTCCCTACCAGTCTCTGGCCTTGAATTCCTGATCCTTCTCCCTCAACCTCGGGAGTGCTGGCATGAAAGGTATGCAATACCACACCTGGATAATGCAATGTTGGGGATCAAACCCAGCGCCTCATGCACATTAGGCAAGCTCTCTATCACTTGAGCCACACCCCCAGTCCACACAGCACTCTCTGATACTTAACAGAGCTGGAGGATAGACTTGCTCCCCTCCGTGGAGCTGAGCAGAGCCCAGAATATACTCCAAGGGACTGTGGGAGCATCCATGTTGATAGACGGGAGGGAGAGGGTAGCGTGTCTTGTAAATTGTGGTGGAACAATGGCTGGTGGTTCCAAGGGAGGAAGCTCCAGGAAGAACTGGATTCCTTCACTTTCTCACATCAGTACAGATTCCAGAAGGACAGAGGTTCCAGTGTGAAATGAAACCATCAGAAGTATTGATGGGGAAACGATGTGGGCACTGGAGGACAAGACCCCTGCTGCTAGTTAATGCATTCTAGACATGGCAGGGAAGCTGTGCCAATGACATCTCCACAGTGTGGTAGCTTAACAAGATCTGCAAAATGACAAAACCAGTTGACATGCCAAGGTGGATGGGGAAATGTCACAGGGGTCGCACCTCAAGAGGAAGAGCTACAGGTGGTCCATGGATGCTGAGGAGGGAGAATTGGCTTTCTCCAGGGACTAGCTCCCTGTGCTGGAGAGCTTTAGTGTCAACTTGACACACCTGGGTTGAGGGAGCCTCAATTGGGGAATTGCCTCCATTGGACTGGCCTGTGGCCATGTCTGAGGGGCATCTTCTTGATGAGTGATGTGGGAGGGCCCAGCCCACTGTGGGTGGTGCCACCCATGGGCAGGTGGGCCTGTGTTGCATAAGAAAGCCGCTGAGCAGGGGCCAGGGGAGCAAGCCAGTAAGCAGAGTTCCTCCACGGCCTGTGCTCCAGCTCCTGCCTCCAGGTTCCTGCCCTGAGTTCCTACCTTGGGTCCCCGACAAACTGTGACCTGGGAGATGTAAGCTGAATAAACCCTTTCTTCCCCAAGTTGGTAGTGGTCAGAGTGTTTTGTCACAGCAGAGAAGAAACAAACCAGAACACTCCCTGAGAGGTTATCTAATCCAAAATGGGCAACCCTAAACACAGGCAATCATGAGCACCACTAAATAGACTCAGTGCATCATATATAATATATATGGATATTCATAAACACATGTATGTATATGTAACAATAATAATCAAAGAAGAGGGAAATTGAGAGGGAGTTGGGGGAGAGCTGTGGGGCATCAGGAGGGACAGAAATAATGCAAAGACAGTATTCATGTATGAAATTCTCAAAAATAGAAAAGGAAAAAATTTTAAAGAAAAATAATGGAGGGGGGACAACATAAGGTTATAATGCAGTCTTAGAGCGAGAAAGACCATTCTAGATGCCTCTAAACAAAACATCATGTCAGACGTTATTGTCCTGATGACATAAAACTTTGTATAGGGATGTGTGTGTGTGTGTGTGTGTGTGTGTGCGTGTGTGTGTGTGTGTGTGTGTATGAACATTCACATGTGTACACAATGATCAGAGGTAGATATTGGGTATCTTTCTCAATCTCTACCCACCTTTTCTTTTCGAGAACTTTTTTTTCACTACTAAACAGAGAGCTCACCAATTCGGCAAGGCTGGCTAATCACAGACCTTTAGGGAGTGCCTATCTCTGCCATCGTATCCTAAGGAGGATGTTGGCACCACGTGGATCATGGAGCGGAGCACACAGAAGACAGCCATGTTGCTCAAATGCTCAATAGAGCTGGTCCATGTGCTCCGGGTAGCATCACTCCAAGCCCCCACCCCAGCCCCCATCAGCTCCAACACAGAAGAAACAGGCACCAAGAGGCCGGGCCACTGCCAAAGGCCACACAGCAGGAAGTGGCAGGACACAGCCTTCAGGGTGAGCAGGGCCC